TAAAATAAAAAAATATATAAAATTGATATTTTTATTTGCACCTTCTCTCCTTCCTCTATGCCTGTAAATAAATTTGTTCACAAATTTGTGTGTATGTGGTTTGTTCATAAATTTTTTGACAATATTTCGTTTGTTTATTCACAATCATTCCAAGTTTGTATGTCTATGAATTTTTTTCACTAATTCATTCATATCTATTAGCCCATAAATCTTCCCGTTCATCGGTCTATAAATCCATTCGTTCAACACTCGTTTGTTTGTTGGTTTGTTCACAATCATTCAACTGTAGTCATCTATCTATGTTCACAAATCTATTTGTCTATCCATCCACAAACTCATTCCTTTGTCCATTGGTAATTAAATTCATCTTCAAATCTATCTCTGTCTGTCCACAACCACGGGTGGTGTTATTGCCACAGCTTCAAAGGTTAAAACCACAGCTTTTTTAATTAATTAACCATTAACCCACGCGGAGAAGGTGGTAACTGCTGCAACTTGGATTCAAATGAGAAGTATAATAGTCAAATAATTAAAAAAAAGCTGTAGTATTAACATTAGTGGCTGTGGCAATAACACCACCCCACAACCACCATAAAATCTGTCTATAGATATCCACTCATAAATCTATATGTCGTTAAATATGTCTGTATCTATCAATTCATAAATCTATCCATCCATAAATCTGTTTGTTCAAAGTTTGTTCGTCTACTATCCATCCATGCCTACAAATTTATCCGTCATTTTTAATTTATTAAAAATTCATCGGTTTATAAATCCATCTATCAACAAATTTATCGTTTGTAAATATATTTGTTCACAACTTGTCTATAAATTCATCCATAACTCTCTCTATATTTGTCGGTTTGTCATCTTCCAGCACCATCCATCCACACCTACAAATCTCTCTATCCATAAACAAAACCACAAACAACCAACATTAAGTTTCTCTTTTAGAAAAAAAAGAAACCAAGTTGCCCTAAAAAACGAACACTCATGTATTTTTTGTGAGTTTGGATATTCAAAACTATCATATTTTTTCTTAATTACATCTAAGATAGATCTTCGTAATATAAATCTCACAATAGTGTCTGGTGAGACCTCAATCTGCACTTCACATTTGCTGAAAAGTGCATTCAAAGTCCATAGCTCTTTCAACCATGTTTTGTAAAGGTCAAAATCCAAAATTGACCCCTTAAATAAAAGGGTAAAGATAGTTTTATCCTTAAGAAAAAAAAAAAGAAAAAAGGAAAGATAAATTATCTATTTAAATTATTAATCAACACAAATCACCTATGATTTAATATGTGATATTATCAATATTAGTTTTTCATTAAAAATATGCACAAGTGGCAAACAAATTTTGTATGATGATATTAAATGTTAAATAATTAGTAATTTATTTTAATCAATAATTTTAAAAAAACAATTTAACTCTATTTTTTTAAGAAACAAATTTATCTCTATTCTCTTATTTAAAAATTAAATTTAAGAGTCCTACCTTTTGTAAATATTCTCCCTTTCACTAAATTCCTTGATGTTCAACATACACAATTTGTTCTTCTTCAATAAAATGTATCAAGAGTCTTGTTAGCATCAAATTGGACTGGGATTGTCTCGAAATTTAATTTTTCTCCCATTGTTCTTAAACTCGAAACCTATAAAATGCTCACTCCTCATATAAAAGGAAAGAAGAAGATTAGTGCTAATCTTTTTAATTGTTGATGATGACAAAATTGGAGGCACAGAGCATGTGATTGTTGAATGGTTGTGTGGTGCAAATGAATGTGGCAAAAGAACCATTATCCAAACTTTGTGGTAACCACCCACCCAACAGACTCTTTATGTTTTGTCATCTTTGCTTTAAATAACAGGAACATTTTTCGCCCATGTAACTTTAAAAATTACAACAAAAAAAGGGTTCAGGAACGCACAGCTAGTGCACTCTGTATCCAAACAAAAACAGGGATAAGGAAATAAGCAAGCCAACGAGCCCTTTCATGTGAATGGACGATTTATTGTGCTTCCAACATTTTAAGGAATTAACCCTCTGTAGTTCAGTTCGGTTGTCGAGAAATAACTGAGAGCTTAAAATAAACTTCTTGGACGAATCAAGCTTTTCCAACAACAATTATCAATTATTAAATATTGATTATAAACTCTTTGAAAACTGGTAAACAGAACAGCGCCTAATAAATTTTTGGAATGAATTTTTTTTATTCTAGTTACCAAACAGAAAGTTCCTTATTGACACAAATTCTGAACACACTGGCTTGTTAGCAACCCCTCTAATCATCCTGCAACAAGACAAACTTGACATGTGAATTCCTTAGTTGCAATTT